TGTTCCGTCTTTAAACTTGTAGCAAATCCAGTTGAATTATATCAGGGTCACTGTGTCTTTCAAGCATGCCCGTCCCCACACGACATCGTTTCTCAGATACTTCAAATGAGCATGCCTTCCTAATAAAGAATGCTTGAAGTGACATTATCGTGAGCCTGATTAGCTGCACCTGAAATTGATTCAGATGCATCACGTGGTCTTTCAAACTCTTTGGAGACTTCAGAATCAAATTCTGTTACACAACATTCAATACGTTAATATACACAGCACTGCATTCACCACGGTCTACACATTTGCTCCTCACACCTGTACGGTTACAGCCCATTATTTACGCCAGTTTGATGTATGACAGCAACTGATTCAGATTGTAAAACATATTTATTCTTCTCTGCTTCGTATTGAAAACATCTGTCATAGGAAACCACATGTGTGATTTATAAATCTGTGTACATGTTTACACATTTGAAGGAGATGAATTATAACATAATGCCTTAATTTCATTTTTCTTAGTTGTTGGATTTTGTTCAGTGATGGTTCGGTGACACCCTTAGACATTGATGATCCCAAGGATTTTTCAGTTACTGTGTCCTCATTGGATGAAACGGTGGTGTCTGTCCAGGCAAACCTTCAGTCCCAATGGCCGGTTGTGGTTGCACAGGGTGAAGGGCAAGGTCCCTTGATTAAATTAGAGGTGATGATTAGCGAACCCTGTCAGAAGACCAAGAGGAAGAGTGTTCTTGCCGTGGGTAAAGGAAACGTCAAGGTCAAATTTGAACCAAATGTTGATGAGCACCTAGGAGGCACCAACGATATCGAGGGCATCAGTCAGGAATACGAAGACCACTTAATTCCATACAGCGTGAAGGAAACCAGGAGAGAGCGGTTCAGGAGTGGTTCCAACATGGCGCCTCTGTTGGCCAAGAGGAACGTAGCAACAGAAGCACAACCCCACAGTACCCCCTGGAAGGAAAGGATAAGAAGTTGCTCAAGAGTGGCGGTCCAGACGCCTTCACAAGCCTCCCCACTCAAGGGAAGTTACCGGAACCCAATAATCCCAGTGACCTTACAGTGACCTCAAGGGGGTTAACTGATTTGGAGATCGGCATGTACGCTCTGCTCTGTGTCTTCTGCTTGGCCATTTTGGTCTTCTTAATCAACTGTGTGGCATTTGTTTGAAAATACAGACACCAAAGTTTCGCTGTGAGCGAACAAGGCAACATCCCCCATTCCCATGACTGGGTCTGGCTTGGGAATGAAGTAGAAACTTCTGGAAAACCCCGTGGACATCACCCTCCCGTCGGAGGAGTGCACAACCATGAGAGACAGGGGGCTGCAGTTCGAGGAGAGGAACTTCCTTCTCAACGGTGGCTCCCAGAAGACTTTCCATAGTCAACTACTCTTTTAGAAACATGACTAGGGAAAAATCTAGTCCTCCCTTCAAGATCTGTTTGATTGTCCTACAAGTTTCATTACCTGGGCCTTGTCACCTCTTTCCATTGACTGAGTATCCATGCTGCACGTTCGTTTTCTCCACCTACCCTCACATCAGTGTTCAGGGTCAGTGTGTAAATTCATATCCCTACTTTATCTTTTCTAGTTTTCCTTATTTAAAATAGCTTGAATTATACAAGAGGCTTCACTTAATATATGAGTGTCAATAAAAGAGTGCTATTTAATAAGTTTTACATGAAACTTTTTCCCACATGAATTTTGGGGGAAATGTTGCCATCACAAACATGTTTATTGTGTTTCCTCTGGTCATTATAGCTTCATGGGGGAACTAATAGGGGCCCTTCTTGGGTGGGTCCAATCTCTCAAACTACTTCTAGCTCTATTTATGAAGCACTATGAGTATCAATTTTTTTGCACCCAATGTGAAATCTAAAAATAGTGTTTCTATGTACAGAAAAGGAATTGTCAAGGAAACAGCTGCAGATGATGCTTGCCATTTGTGTGAATAAAAGTAAAAAGAAATAAATAGATGATATTCCAATTTGACAGTATGTAGACATCCATCTATCTGATGACAAGTGAGATGTTCACAATTATTTTTGTGGTAGAAACAAAACATCCAGGGCATCTGGGAGGTTCAGTCGGTTAAGTGTCCGACTTCAGCTCAGGTCATGATCTCACAGCTCATGAGTTTGAACTTTGTGTCGGGGTCTGTGCTGGCAGTTGAGAGCCTAAAGCTTGCTTGGGATTCTGTGTCTCCCTCTCTCTCTGCCCCTTCCCTGCTCATGTTCTCTCTCTCTCTCTCTCTCTCTCTCTCTCTCTCACTATCTCTCTCTATCTTTCTCTTTCTCTCAAAAATAAATAAATACTTTTAAAAAATTCAAACAGCCACAGGATGCACAGTGGAGGGAGAAACGTAACTGGCCTGGGTGCAAACACACATGCACACACAAACACACATACAAATCACAAAAGGAAATGGCAGTTCCAAGATTGAGCTGTTGCTGGGAAAACACAGTGGCTGTAAATCAGTGGCAAAGAAGAAAGAAATCGCATAGCTTATAAAATATTGATTCTTGCATAACTTATAAAACAGAAAATGTTACTGGATATAAACCACAGGAATGGTCAGAAGCAAAAATATTCAGGGTCAGAAGATTAAGTACAATTTTTTAATACTTATTTTGAGAGAGGGAGAGTGGGTGAGAGAAAGGGAGGGACAGAGAGAGAGAGGGAAAGGGAGAATTCTAAGCAGGCTCCACACTGTCAGCACAGAGCCTGAAGCAGGGCTCGAATTCAGGAACCATGAGATCATGACCTGAGCTGAGATCAAGTGTCAGATGCTTAACCAACTGAGCCACCCAGGTGCCCCAAGTTCAATTTTATTAAGATGGAATAGCTGTTGAGTTGGACTTTGGGCTAGAATAGCCCTTCATAGTCTCTGCTAAGCCATTTTACTTACTTTACTTTTTTCTCTCAGAAAAAAGCTTTTTTGAAGGTATAATAAAAAAATTTTAAAGTAGTAGCATGATTTTATTGATGTGGTTTAGTACAGTGTTGGACAATCTTAAAATCCTATATTCTAAACAAATTCAAGCACTGCAAATGATATATTCTTGAACGTAGTTCACATCTAACAAAGGCAAGTTCTAATATGAGCATCCGTAAGTTGAATGATATAATTTAAGTTGGAAGATAGGCAGCTTTGGTGTTTCTGAATTTCTCTGGCTCCCCTTTTGGCTGGATATTTGGGAGTCCGGCCCCGTTCAGCAGAGTTGGACAGAACCAATCTACTGGGCTCATTCATTCGTCACTTCAATTCATCATCACTTCAATTCATCATCATTCAATTCATCATCACTTCAATTCATCATCACTTCAATGTTTCCAGGCAAGCAGCAAGGGGTACCCAAGTTCTGGGATCGGGCCACTCCTGAGGTCACCTTCAGCATCCTTCTTGAAGTGAAACCATCGAACAGTTAAGGACTGCATTGCCACTGTGTATGGCCAAGTCTAGCCTAATCAGTTAATGTACCACAAGTACTTGAAAACAAAAAGTGAGGCTAAATGAGAGAAACAAACAGTTCATGATAATGACTATGCAGATTTTTTTATGTGAAGATTTTAAAACTAGTTTTAGATCTTGGAGTCCATCTTAAGGTGAAATGAGTACCTTTAAATCAACTTTTTTGCAGTCACGTCAACATGTCTACAGTAGTATGCCTAGGCTGTCTACTCACGTGCACACATGACTACATTTTCAGTTGCCTGTGCATAGAAATTCCCAGAAAGAGCTAGCACTCATTTTTTGAAACTAAGAATCACATACATCGAAATAGGCTCTTTCCAGATCTCAAGTCAACTCTTCCTAGATAGAGCCAGTCCATATCGTAGGGCTGACACTATCAGGCTGTAATACCACTGTTTTCTCAGAAGACTTTTTAAGGTACAGCACAACGCAATGACCAAAATGATCCTTTTAAATCTCGGCCTCTGCTGCAGTGAAGTCTGAAAGCTTAAAGATTGTGGTTCAAGTCTGTTAATGACTTAAAGATTGGATTTTGCCACCAGCAGAATCTAGAGCAGAGGGTCTCCTCTCTTCGAGTTTTGAGACTGAGCAGAGGGAGAGACTGTTACTGTAACCAGGGCTTTGTCTCTGAGGCAGATTCTCCTCTTTCGGGGCTGAAAAATTCAGGTGGTTGTGCACCAAGGTGCATCTAACAAAACTCACAACATCCTCCAAGAGGCACCTGCCACCGCGTTGACATGATCTTAATAGAGCAATCAATGCTTACTTATTTATGCGTTTCTCGTCCGCCTTACCGACATTGTTCATTTAGCAGTTTTAGTTAAAATAATCAGCTGACTGGGAGACTTGCTACTTTTGACTACAGAAGGCAAAGGCATAGGAAATTAAAATGGAGGATGGAATGTTCAAATATGCATTTGGTGGCTGTCACAAAAGCTCACCTTTTTATTATGTTAAAAACAAAATAACAATCAGACTAGTACGTTTGAGGGGGCTCAGGGGAGGCTGTGCTTTGGTGGAAACCCACAACATGAAATTCTTGGAAAAAAGGCAACGTAAAAGCTAGAGCTAAAACCAGGTCGTAAAATAAGACAGCGGGACGGGAGCCGCTCAAAGAGCTGTCCCCCCGGGATGGCCAGAGCACAGCGTGAGTGCCACCAGTCCGCTCACTGGGTCTATCTCGACACTCTCTCAATCAGATCTGTTGCCGAACACAAATTTTGGAATTTCAGAACGTGACACTGCAGGTAAGTGACAGTTGTAACATGTTTTTCAGAAGTGGCAATAACAAAAAAGACACCAAACTACACTGCCTCTGATATGGCTAATGTTTATCAGACGGTAAACGTGTCCGTGGCCATCTTAAGCCACATAAAATTTGGTCGCATTAAGCACAATAACCCCAATGGTTCATTTGACATCTGGTTACTTAAAAAAAAAAATCAAAATTCAGGGTATTATAAATTTTCTAAGATTCACTCAGAAATAAAAGGCTAATTCTGCATACAGAGTTTACCCAAATGTCCATAGGCACTATCATTATTTACACAGAAGGTTTCAATCTGAAGTCACCTTTGGGAACCTCAAAATATATAAACTATGAACTTCCACAGTGGAATTATATGTACTTGAAAATTGTGGCCTCAAAATACCCACGTCCGGGATCTATAGCGACCATGGCTGAACAGGTAAGACACAGATTCAGCGTTGCGTGTTCTTCAGATCACCTCTGCCAAGATCATCGAGATATCAATAACCTGAATCTGGGGACAGTGTCTCATTTTGTCCTCCTGTGGAATAGTGTTTGTGACCACAACAGCCTTAAAGGCGACATTATTTATTCTGGAAATAGCTGGCCCAGAGAAGATCCCGTGTGTGAGGACAGCATAAACTTTGGTGGCTCCAGCTGAGAGTAGCTTGTCCGCGGCATGGCAGATGGTGCCACACGTGTCAGCCATGTCGTCCACGAGGATGGCCACGCGGTCCTTCACGTCGCCCACCGGAACCATCCGGTCCACTTTGTTTGCTTTCTTCCTCTCTTTGTGAATCAGGGCAAATTCCACATTCAGCCTGTCCGCAATCGAGGTGACCCTCGTGGCTTCCCCGGCGTCAGGTGAAACTATGATACAATGGTCCCACTCGGCAGTGTTCTCCCGGATCCACTGCAGGACCACGGGCTCTGCGTACAAATTATCCACTGGGATGTCAGAGAATCCCTGGAGGTGAGAGGCGTGCAGGTCCATGGTGATGATGTGATCTGCCCCAGCCACTGACAGCATATTGGCCGCAAGTTTCGCAGAAATCGGAGCGCGGCCCTTGTCCTTTTTGTCTTGTCGGGCATACGGAAAACACAGGATCACGGCAGTCACCCTGGAAGGTGACGCGATCTTACAGGCATTGTTCATGATGAGAAGCTCCAGGAGGTTGTCGTTGACTTCCCCACAGCCACTCTGGATGATAGAGACATCTTCGCCCCTCACACGCTCTCACCGATCTCGACGCTGGTCTCCTGGTTGCTGAACTTCTCAGTGACCACCTTGCCCAGCTCCAGGCCCAGGCAGCCGGCCACATACTGGGACAGGTCCTGGTGGGAGCTGCCACTGAGGAGCATGATGTTGGGCATGGCGGAGGCAGCGGTGGCACTGGAGGCTGCGACGCCAGCGGGAAGGCGCGGCTCAAAGGTATAATAAAAATTTTAACTTTTCTTACTCTCAATTGATGTTAGCAGAGAAAAATCTGTTCAAAGTAACAGTAGCAAGAATGTACCCAATTCTGTACGTGCACATATAAGGGAAATGAATGGCACCAATGGTACGAGGGGCAGGAGACAGGAATCCAGATTTTTATTTTATTATTTTTTTATTGTGTATTTATTTTTGAGAGAGAGAGAGAGAGAGAGCATGAGCAGGGAAGGGGCAGAGAGAGAGGGAGACACAGAATCCGAAGCAGGCTCCAGGCTCCGAGCCGTCCGCACAGAGCCCGATGCGGGGCTCGAACCCACGAACCGCGAGATCCTGACCTGAGCCGAAGTTGGGTGCTTAACCGACTGAGCTACTCAGGCACCCCAGGAATTCAGACTTTTAAATACTTTACTTTTAAGCTAAATCTTTAATGTTGTCTTTCTTTCAAAGACAGATCTTAAACAGAAATAACAAACTAGCATCCCAAATTTCTGGGTCTGTCCATTGGCACCTCATTATTATTCTATACTTTCAAATTATTTTGTCATACCAATTTCAATGTGAAAAAAAGGAGGTCAGGCCAGCACCCAGTGGGAAAGAACTGCTCCCAAAGCGTGAACTGTGTGATTCCGACCCTGTCTCCCAGATGCAACTTCCGGATCGTAGGAGTGGTTTTCTCCCCGCCTTTGCTCTCTTATCCGTGTGAGGGACGTCTCATCCCATTGGGAGTCAGTGGGTAGAACCTTCTGTTCCGGAGGTGCTCATGGCCAGCTCACGTGACATCACAGGTAGACTTGCGTATCTGAAGACCAAGTCTAAGAGATGGAACTTTCAGGAACAGGGGTAGGAAGTTCCTACAGACTGGTCTGAGGCGGCCCTGTGACCCCAGGGGCGATGCCTCGCATAATTCACAGTGGAGCATGGCTTCATCTCCATCCCGTCGTCCCCGGGAGGGACCGTCCACCCCAGCTGCACTGTCACTTTCCTGTATCTCCTGTCTTTGGGATGCCTGTGGGTTTATAAACAGGAGCAGATCACCGGACCTGCCCCCAGGAGCTGGAGTTCTGAGTCCTGAACATGTTACTGCTGGGGTTGAGGAGTGAGGTCGGTAAAGCTTGACTTTTTCAAAAATCTCCCTGGAGAATGAAGCCAGGAGCCCCGAATCATTTGATGTAAAATTAAAAGGTACCGCACTGTGGGCATCGAGCTTCTGAGGCTTTGCCCTGAATGCAAGAGTGTGGTGACATAGCAAAAAAGACTCGCTCATCCTTGAATTTTTCTGTTAGGAACGAGAAAGAAACTTATGCTCTTGCTGCAGGCTCTGGGCCCGATGGTCCCCACGAGAAAGGGAGGAGCCCCTTAGTAGAGGAGCGACCAGGGATTATGCAGAGCGGTTCTGGACATGATGGCTGGAATAGACCTACGTCTCCGGTGAAAGCAAACGTGGGCATCTCACAGGATGCCTTAACCCTCCAGACCCTGGACTCAGATGATGGTTCCTTTGAAGCCCTAGATCCTTTGCAGATCGGTCTCTCTTTTTTTTTTTTTTTTATAAGTTTTTAATTTTGTTGAGAAAAAAAAAAAGAGAGAGAGTGAGGGGAGCCAGAGAGAGAGAGGGAGAGAGGATCCCAAGCAGCCTCCACACTGTGAGCGCAGAGCCCGACACGGGGCTCGAACTCGCGAACCGCGAGATCATGACCTGAGCTGAAACCAAGAGTGGGACGCTTAACCAACCGAGCCACCCAGGCGCCCCAGAACCGATCTTAATCATTGTTGTCAATCAAGGAAACGGGTGTCTGTTCTAAAGTATGTAGAAAGCGTGGACATGTATAAAGGAAAAAAAAAAATGTCAGAAATAACCACCAGCAGTAACAACAAAGATTATTTAAAAGGTGGCTGACGCTTGCAGAAGGAGCTTTTTTGTAAGCCTTGGGATGATTCCGAGGTTTCCCCCAGCATCCCCTGGAGGGGTGGCCTCACTTCTGGAGAGAACATGCTAATTCCAACATAATTATTCAAATGAAGCCTGCTCCTTCTCGCTTACCTTATCTCCATTTGGATACTTGACATTTGGCTCAAGTATAATGGGAATTCGCTTCTGAAATAGAAGCATCTAAACTCAGCGACAGGATGAGTCATGAGCAGTCAGCCAGGCGCGTCCCCTGGAAAGGAGACGTTGGGGGTGAGGGGGGTTTGCGTGGTGGGTGGGGAGACAATGGATGTCACACCCCCCCACCCCCACCCCCGGGGCGAGGAGCCTGTTGAAGGCAGCCTGCAAAGCGCGACACTTCGCCCGGCGAGCTCGCTCGGCTCGGGCGCAGGACAAACTCACGATGTGGACACGTGGCGGAGGGTGGCCATGACAACGGGGACATGTACCGCGTCCCTGACGGGGAGTTTGTGGAGGGAGAGAACGTGGGCACGTTCAGCGAGATACAGTCGCTCCTGGGCGGTCCAATCTGCTCCTTGTGCTAAAACTCAGCGTAAAGTCAAAAACCGGACGAGGGCTGGGACCCCCTTTTCCAAACGGCCCCCCTTTCCCATAGGTCTGCGGGGGTGTGTGTAACATTTAAGAAGCAAAAGAATAAACATTTGGGTATGAAACCACAGGGGCTCTAAATTTCGCCGAACTTTGACACCGACTCTCATCCACTTAGCAAAATTTTCCCGGGGTTATATCTGCTCTCGACGTTTCTTTGCCCATTAGAAGCCATGGGCTAACTTCCCTGCTGGTTGCCATCCACATGACACACACCGCATCCTGAGAGGCGTAACCCAGCGTGGAAAAACGGACCTGAGTTATTAGTTCCGAGATGCAGCGCCCCGGGGGCTGACGCCGTTTGCTTAAACTGAGCGGGATTTTAGTGGATGGGATACTCACATCGTGGCTCCGAACAAACAATTCCATCCAAAGCGCGCTATGGATAAAGGCCCTTGCTGCAGGATGGAATGACTCAGATTAATCCTGGTTAGTTTGTCTTGGGAGCGCCCCAGGTTTATGCATCCTTGAAGGAACAGAGGGGACAGGTGCTTCTATGAGAATTCACCTAAAACACTGTGGGTGTGAGAGGTCCGTCCCCTGGGTCTGGAGGCGGGGGGGGGGGCGCGTTTTGGAGACCAGGAGATGGGGGTAGGGAAGCAGGGACCTCACGGAGACAGTGGGGTTGAAATCCATGGGCACGCTAAGTCGGGAGACAGCAAGAACAGGAGACACGAGACGTTTTCCCTGGGGATAAACGGCGCCCAGCAAGCCCCAGGAAACACCACCTGTACGGAGCAAAACTGACTTCCTCGCTTTTATTTTGCAAACACACCAGGTTAATCCCACACTGAAACCATCCGGAAGTCTCTCCGGAACCCTTGGGAAAGCGAGAACATCGAGTCAAGTGGGAAGGTGCATTCTTAGTTTCACAGCCACGTGGGTAGCCGAGTTTTACGGTGACGACATTAGGTGACAAGCCGTCTGTGCGTTTTGAGCAGAACGCTGGTTGCCCCCCACTTTGTGAGCGGGATTTGGAGGAGCCAGTGCGGGCGGGGCCATCCGGGGACAACCCTATCCAACAGCAGCGGCAGACAGAAGCTGCCTCCTGTCTCAAAACAGCAGTGAAACTGGTTTTGCTCCCCTCAAAAGCCTCAGCCCACAGCTCTGTCCGTGTAAACACGACATGAGTGCCTTCTGAACTAGCGGCCATCTCTCCAGTCAAAACTATCCCGATTAATAAATATCATGCGCATTCTCTACTTTACGAGAAAAAAAAAAAACCAAAACACTAATTTAAAAAGATGCTGGGGAGGCATGCTAAAATACTGAGCTAGGAGTTTAGATCCGGGATGAACTCAGGGCTCAGGCGGCTTTTTGCAAATCAGTAAGGGTAAGTGTGAATTTAAAAGTCTTAAAAACGCTGGGAAACTGGGGGCGCCTGGATGGCTCAGTCGGTGAAGCGTCCGACTTGGGCTCAGGTCATGATCTCGCGGTTCGTGGGTTCGAGCCCTGCATTGGGCTCTGTGCTGACAGTGTGGAGTCTGCTTGGGATTCTCTCTCTCTCTCCCTCTCTGTCTGCCCCTCCCCTGCTCACACTTTCTCTCTCTCACAATAAATAAATAAACTTAAAAAAAGAAATATTTTATGTATTCCTGCAGCCGCCCAGACAAAAATTTTCTGTGGATAGTTGCCCCCGTGTACTAAAGACAGGAAGAGGGGAGGTATTTTTCACATCTCACTCAGGTCAAACCAAATGAAAACTCAGAAAAAGGAAATATTCAAGGTCTAGCTGATGGTTCTCTTTGTTCCTCTTTTGAGCTATATTTGTGAGTGGCTTGGATGTGGATGTGGATGGGTATATTCATGTATGTGTATTTGTGTGCATATGTGCATAGTGTGTATCGTGTGGTGGGTACGTCGGTGTTCGTGTGTGTTTATGCCTGTGTTTGTGTGTGCATATGTGTTTGTAGTTGCCTATGTGTGTGGCCATGTGCGTGTGCCTGTACATGTGTGGTTGTTTACGTGTGCTGTACGCGTGTGTGTGTTTGTGTGTGTCTCTGTATTGTGCGTGCCCGTGTCTCTGTGTGCTCGTGGGTGTATGTGTTTGTGATGGGGCAGGGTATGGGTCCACGATCCCCAGGGTGCTGGTGCTACACAGCCGACGGAGCTCTAGAGACATAAGAAACACTCAAGACGGCTGGGGATTCTGGTTGGGTCTCCAAGGATTTGTGCAGACATCCCAGCTGAAAAACCATCAGGTGCATTTGCCAAGTTCTCCGGGCCGTATGTGCACTTTTCAAAACTGTCAGCCTCACCCTGGCCATTTTGGCAAACGCCACACTTTGCTTCCAGGATGCAAGGAGATATCTCCCTGGAAATCCAGGGCTTGAATCGCTTGATAAGTCTCAATAAATCCCCTCAGCCAAGCCCGCTCTTTGTCCGAGCCCCACAGGGACCTGCGAGTGAGTGGGCACCAATGGTAAAGGTCTTTGAGAAGTGCCGTGCCT